TGTGACTACTTTCACTTTTCAAATGCTAAAAATGAGATTTACACTGAATAATGTGATAAAGAATAGGGTATTTATTAATTTGGGCCAGAGATGATAGCATCTCCCAAGATTATGATTTCTGAGTGTGTCAGACCAAATTGTTTTCTCTCAAGTGTTTCTTTAACACATGGCTCTATCTCACAGATTTCATTTTTTATTTTTTGTCCTTTCTCTGTCCTCATGATTAATAAGTACTTCTGCTCTGGAGGTGCTTCTGTAAAATTTAAGAATTAAGTAATTATAGCAGTGTGTGCTGGACTTTTCTTCTTTAGTTCCATAATATATTATGTGTTCTTTATTTAGAAAACTCAAACAACATCTGATGTTACTTGCATTTTATTAATTAGAACTTAATGTACATACCCTTTCTTTTCTTTTTCATCTTATTTATATACTTGGTGAAGTTAATGATTTTAAGTTTCTATGGTTATTACTTTGCTACATTTAAATATGCTTAATAGTTTACTGTAATTTAAAAATAATATTAGCTTCCTTGGGTGCTAATGTTTCTTTTATTTTAATAATGTGATTTATTAACATTTATTTTTGTGTAAGTCATTATCCAAGTTATATAAATGAATGATGTCTGCATTAGATAAGCTGACAGTTGAGCTACTTTTCAGAAATAAAATATTCTTAAGTATTTCAAGTACTTATCAGTGATTTGCACAGATTAACTGTTTTGAAGACTTGTCGATCTGTCATATAATGAATTTTTTCTCTGAATTGTTTTGGTTTAAAACCTATTGCTTTTTGCCTAGTTGGTATGATAACATTTTGAATTTATATGTGACTGCTGTGGTTTTCACCAGTTTTTACTTTAATAGAGCAGGCTTGCTCTAAAAATAATTTTGTATAATAGGTTTGCAATCTTTCATGTTAAATATACTCTTCTAGATATGTGTTATAAAGCCATGGTTCTGGGAACTTCTTCAGGAACTCTTTTTTTTTTTTCTTTTCTTTTAGGACTTTCCTGTTGAACTGGTCTTAAGTGGAATAGCTTTACTTCTTCTGCAGACTCCAGCAAGTCAACAGAGGCCGATCTTAAGTCTAGGTAAATAAAAATTCACTCACTAGAGTAAAATGTAAATATAACATGAGTGTTGTCAGGAGTCACTTGAACTATATATCGTATTGTGATGTGAAATACTGGGTATTTTGAGTTTCTCTTCTAGAATTTTCCTAAGTAATCATCATCAAGTAGATTTTATTTTTCTTTTTCCACCCAGGTGTTACCTTGTGCAAGGTTCCATATCCCACAATTTACTAAGTATTGGCAGCTGTCCGTTTGGAGGTTATACTCTAAATCATCTAGCAGTAACATTTGTAAATATATTGAAGTACATATCAGCTTGTTCACAGTTATACAGAAATCTGAGAAACAATAGCATAAAACTTTTGAAACAAAATAAGTGTTCAGCATTCAGTTGCTTTTTAAAACTCTCTACACCTTTACTGGAGCCCTGGTGGCATAGTGGTTAAGAGCTCAGCTGCTAACCAAAAAGTCGGCAGTTCAAATCCACCAGATGCTCCTTGGAAA